AGATGCAGACAAATGGATCGAACCCACCTCCGACCACCGGGCTAACTCCCTTTTTGGGCAGGATCGCGGAGCCCGAGGAAAGGATGCCTCGACAGTAGTGGGGGAGCACCTCGTCTACTGAGACACATACCGGCGGTGCTCCCTCTTAAACCGTGGAAAGAGCTAGCCTAATGGGTTTGTGGGCGAACTGACAACGACTATGCACGGGGATCGAGCCCACGCGCCCCCACCGACAGGCTAGCTCCTTTTCGTGGAGCAGAAGAGCGCCTCACTAAGAACCACGCGATCTGGGAAAATCCCGCAGCCGAAAATCCGCCCGCGCGGCAAACTTTCAGCCCCTGCCCGATTACGGGTGGGCTCGATCTCTGGGCAACGGGGTAGAAGGACCCCGTAACCGTTGGGAGGAGGAACCTAAGGGGAAAGAAAATCCGATCAGCGTGTCTGCACTGCGGGGCAGTGCGGGGATTCGAACTTGGGGCGATGGCGTGAGGAGAGCGAAAAGCGCGTTAAAACAAACACGAGGGTGCGCCACAGAAGGATGAGCGGTCTCAGGGAGAAGTTTTCCAATTTCCGTAGGCCTTGTGGGACCAAGACGCGATAGGAATCGCCCTACTATTCGTCTGCGCACGCTCGACGTCATTCTATATAAAGCCCAACCTCTCGTATATTTCACTTCACTACAAAGGCTCTTATGTTGTCAGTTCCTTTCCAGGACGACAATGAAAGTTAGTTTGGCGTGACCTCCATCGCTTATCGTGCCAAACCTTGGCTAAGGGAGTGAGTCGGCCAGCTGGAAAAATGGGGGCGCGGGTAGCAAACAACTCGGGTACCGCAAGCAGTGCTGCCTCGAGCAGTTCACAACGAAGAATCGTGACAGTTGCCACCACCAAGCTGTTTCCGAGCAAGACAAAGGCAAGGGCGTCGGCTGTAGCCTTGGGAGGATTTAGTCAAGGATGGGTGAGAGTCGGCCGCATGGTCTTCCATCCAGCGGACGTCTATCCGACCGCGGTGGAGCTAAGGGAAGACCAAGGAACCCTTGAGGACCCGCCGTGAATTTACGCATTTGTGACTACGACCATGAAGCTGGGACTAAGCGTTCGGGTCTTCCCCCTTAGGAAGAAGCATTGGATCGACGTCGGGGTCGTCTACGATGTCGTGAACGAGACGATCCATCGCAAGTTCGAGGACGAGATCATGTGGTTGTCCCTACACATTATGACAAACCACCACGCTCGGCAGGGGCCATTTGTGTACATTGAGCATTATGATCGCGTTGGTCCGTTTGATGTCGGATTCCATGTCGCAGAGAGATGTGACGATGAGGCCCTCCAGCGGCAGGAGGAGAATTTGCTAAAACTCTTTTGTATTTCATGATGACTCTTTCGTGGCACAGGATGGCAGGAGCTCGACGCGACTTGACGTTTCCTAGGTATCCTTTGATACGGGAAACGACTGATGATGATCGCATCGCCAGGGCGGACGGGATATCAATAGTATTCGATGGGGCTCCGATCCGATGGTTCGGCTTCGTGGAGATCGTCAACGGCGGACGCGGGTTTCTTCCGGAGGCGCGATCAGAGATTCGGCCAAGCGAGATTCGACGTCCTAACGAGGTGCATGGGCATACATTGTATTTTCGCCGCACCTCGAACATGTAACTCATCTCTCGAGTCATTGCCGGAGCACTCTTCAGGGCCTCCGTTCCTTTGGTTTCTAGATGCCTCGGCTCGACACCTTCGACACCTAGGTGTACCTTTTTGGTCCATTTTGTTGACAACTCTTTGGCGGGAGGGCGGATAGCGGAAACTCTACATCGCGAACAATCTACGACTATGATGGCGAAGACGAGTGCGGAAGTTGGCAATCAACGAGGCACTCATCATGCGACGTGCTCGGCTGGGTAGACGCATCGAGGCGACTTACGTGCTTACGGTCGCTCACCTTCCTTTATAAGTCCCTTTTGATTGGATCGGTAGAAAATTGGTAGCTAGCTATGCTCCTCGGAATCATCAGGTTTCGACCGTAAGGGGTATGAAATATAGTAAGCCTCGATCACCTTAGTGGTGTCGACCAGGAAAACGAGGTCAGTCCGCTGCTATGATTATCTATTCCTGCGACGATTTTCGCTGGTGTCATGATGAGGGGCGACGACGGCACAAAGGTTTTACCTTTTTCCTTTTTTTGTATATACTTGGTTGGGATGCATTCATAGTTAGTCAATGACTTCTACATTAGGCAGACCGTAAATTGTACAGGTGAAGGGAAGCCATGAAAAATAATAGAGGTAAACATGGACACGTCGTCATGGAGTGATATTTGCTTTGAAGTTCGATTAAGCACGTTGTGAATGTCGATGGCGACTTTCTTATCGACCGTATGTGCATCAATCGTGGGACGCTTTCGAAAACTTTCTCTTCAGTTTTGCGTGACGGTGGGAGTAAAGGATTTTGTAATCCTTGCGAAGGACTGTCACTTGGTTGCTAAGACAAGTTGTCGTCTATGTATGGCACCTGCGAGCTCTGTTCGCAAACATTTACGAGTACCTTGGTTGCAAAAGTTATGTGCTTGTTTGCGACGTCTATGTGTATCTAAGTTGTCACATTTATGTGCTTGCTTGCGGCGTCTATATGTAACTCAGTTGTTACATCTATGTGCTTGTTTGTGACGGTTATGTGTATCTCAGTTGCTACATTCATGTGCTTGGTTGCGACTTCTGCATGTTTTAATGCGATGTATGAGTGTTTTCGTTATTCCAGTACCTTCCTTTTCCAAAAGAAGGTGCTTTTATAAAAAGGACAAGAAACGACTTGAGTTATGATCGATCAGGCGAAGTCTAAGTAACCGACGTGGTCCGCAGACGATCAGCCACCTACGAAACGAGCGGCTTCGTTGGGATCGATCTATATTCATCTGTAAGAGTTGTCTGTACTACGGCGAAACGAGCAAAACGCCCTTGGCTGGTCTACCTCTACATTTGCATGTAAAAACTTTCGTATGAAGATCAGTAGCTCGGTAGGGATACGCCTCTGAGGATGGTGATAAGTCCTCAGGGAAGACAAGTTGTGCCTCGCTGGACCCTGACCTGTCGTAGGGGAACGCGAGAGGTACGACTGACGCACCCGGCTAGAGCGACCAAACCCCATTGTTCACCCCGATGAATTTCGGGGGAAGCGTTCTGACTCTAATTGAGAAATATCAAACTCCTGCGTGATGCGGCCGGGAGGTCCCCCTTTATGCGCGACGACGCGAGGGGGGCCGTTGCGTCTGACAGGTGGCGCCGTTGCCGAGGATGACAGCTATCTACCGTTGTCCCTGGTGGAATGACACTCGGGTAAGGTAATCCTGAATAACTACTTTGTATTGTTATTTAACTAGGCTGTTCGATTGTGAATTGATTTCCTCTCGAAAGGACAAGTGACATTATCATGGCAATGACCCTAGTACGACTGAGAGATTGTGAGGTAATAATGACTCAACGTGGATGAGCTATTTCGATTAATCGGAAATCACATAATGAGATGGGCTTGCTAAAAATCTTTCCCGACTTAGGTAATTGGTTGCAATCCTTGTTCCTCCTGACACTTCACTCAAGATGGGGAACCCCAACCTCGTTGAGAACGATAGTTTGGGCGAAGAGAGACGCAATGACATTCAGAAACTCGCGAGGCTTATCCGACAAACCACCACGTCAAATGAGAAGTTTCCGAAAATCAAGGTTCCTCTGTTCGATGGAGAGAATGTTACGGACTGGCTAAAAAAACATGAGTTAAATGCTCATGTGCGTCAATTGACTGAAAAAAAGATGTTGGAAGTGGTAAAACGCTATGTGCACGTTGATCTTGTGGAAAAGTTGGGAAGATGGCGTGTAGGACACGAATCTAGAAAACATTCTGTGAGCGAATGTTGGAAAAATACCAGCTGGGAGACGGATTGTTGGACGTCTATGACCTTCGTAAAGTGAGTCGAGAGAAATTTGGGACGATCGAAGGATTCCTAAAGAGGTTTGAGAAGGTAGCTAAGAGGATTCCCGATCTTCCCGATAAGACGAAATGCATTATCTTTCTGACCAACTTCACCGAAGTGGAGCAAAGAGAATTGATGAAAGGTTTTACTACCAGGTACGACTGGGATAAGATTAAGGAGAATCTTAAGGTCGGTGACTTCGACCAAATGCTCTATCATCTTCTGCACAAACAAAGGAAAATGGGGGAGGAGGAGTTAGTAAGTAGTGATAAGGATAAAAAGATGTTCGGGCGATTATGGATGTTAGAATGATGATGAAAGAAATGAGGAAGGAGGGGTTGTGTGGCAAGGTACTGACAATAAGGCAACAAGATGGCAAGAGAAAAAAAAAAAGAAATGGAGGAAGAGTCCGACGAGGAAGGTAGTGAAAAAGAAGAAGAAGAAGAACCTCCTCGGAAACTGACGAAGGCCGAACGAAAAACCATGAATCAAACACGGGGAGAGCAATGTACGATTGCAAAACAATCCAGGAATAAGAGTGGCCATGAGAATGATAATTGTGATACTATCAATCAGCATCAGAGGCAATATCAAGATACCGAGCCCTGACAATTTCGGCCGCAAGTCGGAGGAGGTCGGGGGCATGGTCGGGGAACTTCTGGAAGTCGCGGTTACGATAATAGGGATTGGAATTGTAACTATTGTGCCCAAAGAGGGCACAATGTCCGATATTGTCAGACCCTCGCTAGAGATGAGGAGGATCGGATAATGTACACAAACATCCGAGGGGAGGTGTTCAATTTCGAAGAGAACCTTATCGATTCATATATAGAAGGAGGAATGAGGAAGGAAGCATTTCGACGTATGAATTGGACCATGCCCTGCACTTATCGGTTGGCCTCGAAAGAAGAAATGGAGGTGCTTGAGTCAGAAGAGGCTGCACGCCATACAATTTTTAGTAGGCTTGAAGTTAGTAAGGGCAAGACCGAAAAGGAAAGACTCTGAGATATGCGAAAGGCTTTAAGCTCGAGAAGCAATTTAGAGACATTTGGAGGCCCAGTTATGAGACTCGGTCTCGGTATGGAAAGGGTTTGGCCAGACATGCCCAATATGTTTCTACTTGGTGGGTACGACGAGAAAAGGGGCATGGATCCTTTGGCGGCGTCTCTGTTAGCATTACGTGCGGGGAGGTCATCATCGTCCCACCTTCAGACGGCCTCTGCAGGAACGCGTTCTGTCTTGAACAGGCCCGTCCTTCGACGAGGAACGTCACCGACAATCCCTCAAGCACAGAAGATTAAGAAGGGGATCCAACCTCGAGTCGCGCTCGTTGTCAGTGCAAAGGTGCAACAAGACGAGCCGATGGTAATCGTGGAAGAAGACTTGGACACGGAAGATGAGAAATTGAGGGTGGAAGACGAGTGTAAGGCAAGGTTACGCGCCAAAAAACGAGGTGTAGATGAGAGTCAAGATAAGGAAAAGGAAGAGGGAGAAGAGGAAGGGCACCAGAAGAAGAAGAACCGGTACACGATTTCGATTGAGGAAGGGATCGACATTGAGACGATGGTGGATCGGATACTTGAGAGCCATCGAGATTTGGTAACACTCAAGGAATTTTTTGTAGCCTCGCAAAAGATTCGGGAAGAGCTTAAGAAAAGACTGACTCGACGAAAGGTGATGACAGTTAAGTTAGGGGAGGTAATCCCACCTGAGACAAATTGGACTCCTGCGGGAGCAAAGATGAATTGGAGGTGCGTAGCGACTGGGCACGTAATGGTCAAGATAGGTGTTTCACAACATCTTGCGCTCGTTAACATCGGAGCGGAGATGAACATATTAAGGAAAAAAAATGCGCTAGAATTAGGAATTGAGATTGATCGCACTGATAATGGATTTTTGGTTAGCGCTGGAGGGTCGACGCCCTTTTGTGGAACTGCCAGTAACGTCAGTATACAGATCGGCAAGGTAAAGGTATGGTTTTATTTTTACGTGTTGCCACTGGTTGAGCATGGGGTGATGTTGGGACGGTCATTCTTATGCTGATCATAGTCCATCATCATCAATAAGCATGATGGGACGATGTTCATAATACTGTGCGAGTGTGTGGACACTTCGAGGTGATCAAGTGCTCGAACACGGGGCCTAAGAATTCAAGGAACTGGTTGAACCCTGAATCCTATAGCTTCGAGGAAGCGGAACAATTACTAAGAGAGCAAGAATCCTATGGGAAGGACGATGGGGAGAACCCGAGGCAGTTTTCCTTAGCTCTTCCAGACGTCTCACAGACTCTGGATTTCGTTTCAACCCACTCTAAAGTCGACCGAAACCTTGTATAGACGCTAAGAGATTGTGTCTGAAGGTGGTGGCACGGGGAGTATGTTCTTAACATATCAACCTAGCATCCAATCCGTTGGTGAGGAAGGTGTGAAACCACATGCCAAGCAAGGGTCTTTTTTAGAGTAGGAAGAATTAAAGTTGGATCAAAGCGGCGGTATAAGAAAGTAGCTGACAAAGCCAAGCCTGTCCCCGTCCTAGTCACCCATGACGAAGAAGTGTATTACAAGGAGGAAAAATAGTGGATAAGGGCGATGAGAGAAAAATGTGAAAGAGAGTCGTGTCGTTTAACCAACGAGAGAATTAAGGAGATGATCATTGGAGAAGAGGGCTTCCTAACAAAGGAAGAGAAAACCCTCATGATTGATGTCATGAAGGAAGCACACTTGGCGTATGCTTTTAATGACGATGAAAGAGAAAGATTAGACGTTGATAAAATCCCGATGATTAGAATACATACGGTACCGCACAAACCTTGGAATATAAGGGGGCCATGCTACCCTGACCCGGATGACCATCGGAAGGTTGTAGACTACCTAGATGGGAAAATCACGACGAAGGTAGCCGACTACTCTTATGGACCATATGCGTCACCCTGGTTTTGTTTTGTCAAACCTAACAGTGTCTTACGGTGGGTACAAGATTTGCAGAGATTGAATGCGGTGACGGTTCGGGATGTCGGTAGACTTCTAAACGCATATCACTTGTCCGAGGCCAGCGCCGATAGACCCATCATCACCTTGATTGATCTTTATTCTGGCTATAATCAGTTTCCCTTGTACACGGCCGATAAACCTATAACGACAACGCATACACCTAGGGGGCTGGTTCACATGTGTTCCGCGCCTCAAGGTTGGACTAATGCCGTCGCGATCGTACAACGATACATGATGAAGGTTGTGCAACCGCTTTGTCCGGACCCGACCTCACCATATATCGATGACTTGTCGACTCGAGGACCGAGGGACAAGGATGAATCTGAAGTGAAACCAGGCGTACGTAAGTTCGTTTGGGATCACATTCACGACATCAAGAAAGTTCTCGCTAAGTTAAAGGAGTGTAATTTCATGGCAAGTGAAGTAAAATTCAGACACTGCATGAGTGAGGCTACAATCTTGGGGTTCCTATGCAACGAGAAAGGTCGTCGACCGGATACCAAGAAAACAAATAAGATCCTAGAATGACCTACTCCACTTAAGTCTGTTAGTGAGATAAGGAGTTTTCCCCGGACTTGTGGGTTTTGGAGGATCTTCATCCAACGTTTTGCTGCAAGGGTGGAACACTTACGCAAACTCGTGCGTAAGGACCAAGATTGAGAATGGGGAGCGGATCAACAGAAAATAGTTGAGAACATAAAGGCTGAGTTTCGCAAGGGAGGGATGGTGCTCGGGGTTCCATGCTTCGGTAATGACCCAGAGCGACCATTCATAATTGAAACCGATGCAGGACATACGACTTTATGAGGGGTCCTTATTCAAAATGACGAGAGCGGGGTTGAACGTCCATTAAGGTTTGAAAGTAGAACCCTCAACCTCACAGAGCGAAACTATTCCCAGTTCAAGAGAGAGATTTTAGCGGTACTTTATTGCCTAAGAATTTTTCGCAACTATGTTTTCGGCCGGAGTTTCGCCTTGAGGGTTGAACCAACTGCCCTAGCTCAGTCATTAAGAAATTATTCCCCTTCCGATCCGACGATCGCAAAATGACTTACATACATTTGGATGTTCGATTTTGAACTCGAGAGGATAGCCGGCGTGAAGAATCGGGCAGACGGGCTAAGTAGAATCGATTGGGACAACTCCAAGATTCGAGCAGAGGACTTTGTGTCTGTTGACGGATTTCTGGAGATCAAGGAAGGTCAACCAAGTATAAATTCTTACCACTATCTGGTTGATGCGTCTTACTGACAAGGGAAGTCTATGTGGAACGCTCCCAACTTTTATCAAGTTCGTCCTGAGCTGGTGAAAGAAGAGCCATTTATTGAGGAGGATCCATGGGGTGAGAGGTCCAGTGAGTAGATGATGAGCCTCACACTTTCGGACTCCATTCGGCTGTCGAAAGATCCCTTGTCAATTCAAGAAGGTTTTCGGCATGCCGATGAGGTCTTAAGAGTGTTTGACGGGACGTGTTTTGTGATTAACACATTAATTGAGGAGGATTTGCGGGCAATGGTACCAACTGACGAGGATGGTAGGATGAAAGAAACCTTTAGGAAAAATGAGTACAATGGGATATATAGAGAGATCGGATTATGGTTGAGTAAGGAGATATAAGAGAAAATTGTGAAAGGTGACATTCGTCGGAAAGGTGAAGAGTTCGTGGTTAGGTACGACCATCTATTTAAGAAGAGCGGAGACGGTATCCCGAAGAGGGTCGTTTGTGGAATTATGAGACAATTAGACGTGATTGCGGCTTTCAGGATTGCAGGAGGACATCGCTCGGCCCGAATGATGCTTCTGAAGGTACGACATCTTTATTTCTGGGACGGTATGAATAAAATGATTACGGATTACTACAGTTCGTGCGTTCCTTGTCAAAAACGCTCCAACCATAAGTATGTCGAACCCCTTTACCCACGGTACGTTGCAGAACCAGGAGCCGTGGTGCACCTCGACTTGGTGGTTATGCCCCTAAGGATGAATGAATATCGGTTTATCTTTGACGCAAGGGACAATCTAACATGATTCGTCGACGGGTGCGTGATACGAGAAAGGACTGGAAGAGTTTTAGTTGAATGTATCGAAGAATACTATCTTCGGTATTCTTTCATCTGCGAAATTGTGATGGATCGAGGTAGCGAATTCCGAGCAAAAAAAGTTCAAACTCTGTTAAGGAGGTTTGGTGTGAACTATCGGTATACCACAAAGACGCATCCACATGTGAACGCCCCAGTTGAGAGGGGGCACTCTACCCTCACAAACTTGTTGGCTAAGTGGTGTGCTGGGAAACCTTCTAGGTGCCCAGTATACCTTCGGACAACGATGTTCGTCGAAAATATCACCGTGAAGAGAACGACTTGGTATGCTCCGACAACTCTTTGGTTTGAACGACATGTAACCTTTCCGATCGAGAGTCTCCTGACTACGTGGCAGAGGCAAGACTTAGAGACAAACCTTTCACTGGAAGAGTTGCTTGACTTAAGGGCCAGACAAATCATGGCTACAAAGGAAAGGATTGAAGAGGCTGCCACTTCGACTGCAACAAGTAGAAGAGCGGACAAGGAGAGGTGGGACAGGCAACCGCGGGTCCGAAAGGAACCCCTGGAGGTCGGTGATGTTGTCCTTCTTTACGACTCTTCGCTGAAAAAACAGTGGTCACGGAAGTTGGATAATAGATGGTTGGGACCTTATCGCGTCCTCAAGAAATCGGAACATGGAGCGTAGGAGGTCGAGGATTTGAATGGAGCTCAATGACGGGATTGGGTTTCAAGATCAAGGTTGAAGAAATTCATACAAAGGACCTGAATAAGGTAAGGACCAAAATTTTTACCTGAGTTAATTACATTTCTGCATCATTGTCTGATGACTATTTTATTTAGTCAAACTGATGAGTTTCCTTTCTTTCTTTTCTGACTGTCCTTGTGACGACAGGGAGGGAAAGGAAAAGTGAAGCTACAGTTCGAGATGGCTCGTGGCTACTGACATGTCTCATTGAACGACTCGATGAGCTGGATCGACGTGTTACTAGTCTGGAAGGGGCACAAAGAAGGAAAGACTCTGGGTCACAACCAACTACAGCCTCAAACAACCATTTCGTCAAAACGGACATATTATACTTTTTGAACGAAATAAAAACTGTTTTTTTTTGCCAAAATCCGGTCGGAATATTTTTTTCCTTGGGGTCCGGCGTTCCCAAAACGCCGGACCCCTCACATGTATTCCGACCGGATTTTGGCAAAAAAAGTTAGTTTTGATTTCGTTCAAAAAATATAATATGTCCGTTTTGACGAAATGGCTGTTCTCAGTTAAAGGGAAGCCGAAAGTGGTTGGACCTGTCTCAAGGAATAGCCAGAGGAAAGACCGAAATGTTGGACCTTCGCAGCAATCGAAGGCAGACTCCTTGGTAATCAAGGAGAAGGGTTAGCCGACAGAGAGAAGGAAAGTGGGAGTGTCAGAGCCTGCTAGGGCTGCGAGGCGGACACCTCAAGAAAGTGCAATTGTTTGAAGCAAGAGAGATAGGGTCACATTGTCAAGCAATGAGAAGTCGGCAAAGCTTGCCAAAGACGATGCCTCAGCTCGAGAGAGAGGAAATGCGCTTAGTGCGAAACAACGTAGCGAGGTTTTGAGGAGGGTTCTTAGTCCTCCGCTGTCTAGGTCGAATGGTAGGACAAATTTTCAAGGGACGGAGAAGACACCATTATCGGGACCGCCCATTCTGTGTCAGAAAACGGGTCATAAGGCTAGAGATTGCGCAGTTCTTAGGGAGGAAACCAGATTGGAGTCATGATACATTTTTAAGGCTATATATGTATATGACAATATATCTATATTATATATATTATATATATATATATATATGTGCCAAGACTTTGTTATTGACTCTGTTTGACTCCATGTTTTGACTCGATTGACTTGATGGAGAATGTGTTGGACATTGACGACTAAACTTTATGTTTAAACCTGGTGAAATTATTTAGTTGGGTATACTGTGGCCTTACTGAGCAAGGCCTGAGGTTGTAATGGGCATTGATCATTCACCTTTGAATTCTTGATCATTATTAAATTGGTGCAGTGGTGACGCATTTCTTGCAAATCGGATGAGTTAATTGATTAAGAGCTTCATGAATGGCCGTTGTCGAATTACTATGGATGCAAATTGGGACGTGTCTGTTGGATGAAAATGTTGCCTCTCTCTGAAACTGAAATGGGGAAGGACTTGAAAGAAGAACTTCTGATGAATGGTTTCTCTCGGAATGAGTAGGGTCCAGACGTTTTCTGGACAACTCCAGATGGTTGTATTATGGAGGCTTGTTAGGGGCTATACCTGACTCGTTTGGGTCTTGCTGAGGTTAAAAAGAGTATTCGAAAGGGGATGTTAGGAGGCTCGGGGCCTCAGTGTTTATTCCATCCCTGACATCCATTATCGTAGTACAGTGCTAGTATCCTCGTGGGACATGGGAGACCCGGGTTGAATTCCCGGTGACACAATTAAAAAAGTGTCGAGGTGTGGTGTTTGCATCCCTATGGCTAAAGAGAGACCCGGGTTGGAATCCCGACGGTGATGGATGTTTCCGCAAGTGAAATTACTCAAACAACTTGATGGATGTCGATTGCTTACTAGCCGAAGGTTGCATCCGGTACCATTCGGAGAGACAGATGTTGTTTTGGCCGCCGGTGGGGTGATACCGGAACCATTCTGAAGGGAGATACATTGGTTTTACGCTTCCAGAGGCTGAATCTGGGTATTATTCCAAGTTCAAAAATTTTGGTTGGCTGGAGGCTGAATCTGGTGCCATTTCAGTAACTGTTTTAGGCTGACTGGGGCCTGAACCCAGTAAATCATGAAAGGACTGTGTTTTAGGCTACCAAGGGCTGAACTTGGTTTCATCCGCAAACACTTGCAATTGGTTTTACGTTTCCAGAGGCGGATTCTAGTACCATTTCAATGATTGTTTTGTGCTTCTGGAGGCTGAATCCATTTTCGTTGTTAAATTTTGGGAGCATGTCTGAATTTAAGATGGGTTGTCTTTCAGAATGAGGGACATGCGTGCTTTAAGAGACCTTGCTACTAATATGCTTGGAAACGGGCGCACACAAAATTATCAACAAGCTATCTACCTATGGATTAATCCTAAACGACGAGGGCGTCGTTTAATGGAGTCCGGGATGACTGTCGGGGCTATAAGGGTTTCTGCCGGTATGTTGACGGCTCCCGGTAAGGCGTCGTTCTATCAGTAAGATGACGGGGCGTCGGTGAGCGGAAAAGGGACAAAGTGAAGATAATCCTCCACGACGTGGCAAAAGATTTCATGGGTATCCCAACCTTTCTCTTATTGGATATTGACCCCGCATCTGTCTTTTCTAAATTTATTACTCAGAATCTAGGGTTGGGCACCCAAGTGGCTGTACGAAGGGCAGTTGACGCTACCAAGGCATACCGCGGTAGGTACCGCTAAAGGAAGGAAGCCGCGACGACGGAGAAGTCGGGGGTACCATTCCCCTTCGCCCCCACCATCAAATCGACGCACTATGACCTAAACAAAAGGTTGTCACGTGGCCTATCGGCCGCGCAATTCAGGGTCCATCGAAGGAAAAAACCAACGTTAGAAGTACTTGAAGCACGACTGCAAACATAGGAGAAGGGGGAGATCTGGGAAGGGGGAGATCTGAGAAGGGGGCGCTCGAGTTAAAGGCCTATCCGAAAAGACTATTGAAGAGGACCTACCCTACCGCAATCCCTATAGGACTCAACCCCGCTCCCACGCCATGTGTGCACGCCGTGCCATTTAACTAGGCTAAGTGGGTGTCCAGGTAATATGAGAGGAAACCGCGAAGATAAGGCACAAAGGGACCAATCATTCCCCAACAATGCACGATGATCTAAAGAGAATGGGGTCGCGCGACCGATCGGCTGCGCGATTCAGAGCTCGACGGTTGAAAACGGCCGCGCCGGGCAATGGCCCGGAGGCGGCGTGATAACAGGCAAAACTAAGGGTTGAAGTTAAAAATTTATCTAGGAAATTTACCGATAAAAACACACCCTATCTGAGTTTTTATAGCCCTAACCTCGCGCCGGCGTTATACCTACCTACCCCACTGCCCAACTAGGCTAAGAGGGTGTGCGGGCGGTGCAAGGGGAGAAACGCTAAGTGGAGAAAGGCCCTAAAAGAACGTGCCTCGGGAAAGTCAGTGAGCTACCCGGCGTATACCTGTCTTATAGAAGGAGCGCTCCTACCTGTACCGTGGTGGAGGCTAGCCCTGTAGGTTTGGAGGTGGGATGATAAGCAGCAGACATATGGATCGAACCCACCTTCGACCACCGGGCTAACTCCCTTTTTGGGCAGGATCGCGGAGCCCGAGGAAAGGATGCCTCGGCAGCAGTGGCGGAGTACCACGTCTACTGAGACAAATACCGGCGGCGCTCCCTCCTACACCGTGGCAAGAGCTAGCCCAATGGGTTTGCGGGCGAAGTGACAACCACTAGGCATAGAGATCGAGCCCACGCGCCCCAACCGACAGGCTGGCTCCTTTTCATGGAGCAGAAGAGCGCCTCTCTGAGAACCACGTGATCTGGGAAAATCGCACAGCCCGAAATCCGCCCGCGCGGCAAACTTTCAGCCCCTGCCCGATTACGGGTGGGCTCGATCTCTGGGCAACGAGGTAGAAGGACCCCGTAACCGTTGGGAGGAGGAACCTAAGGGGAAAGAAAATTCGATCAGCGTGTTTGCACAGTGGGGATTTAAACTGGGGGCGGCGGTGTGAGGAGAGCGAAGAGCGCGTTAAGACAAAAACGAGGGGGCACCACGGAAGGATGAGCGGTCTCAGGGACAAGTTTTCCAATTTCCGTAGGCCTTGTGGGACCAAGCGGCGATAGGAATTGCCCTACTATTAGTCTGCGCGCGCTCGACTTCATTCTATATAAAGCCCAACCTCTCGTATATTTCACTTCACTACAAGGCTCTTATGTCGTCAGTTCCTTTCCAGGACGACAGTGAAAATTAGTTTGTCGTGGCCTCCATCGCTTATCATGCCAAACCTTGGCTAAGGGAGTGAGTCGGCCAGCCGGAGAAATGGGGGCGTGGGTAGCATACAACTCAGGTACCGCAAGCAGTGCTGCCTCGAGCAGTTCGTGACGAGGAATCGCAAGGGTCGCCACCATCATGCTGTTTCCGAGCAAGGCGGAGGTTAGGGCGTCGGCTGTAGCCGTGGGAGGATTTAGACAAGGATGGGCGAGAGTCGGCCGCATGGTCTTTCATCCAGCGGACATCTATCCGACCGAGGTGGAGCTCATGGAAGACCAAGGAACCGTTGAGGACCCGCCTCGAATTTACACATTTGTGACTACGGCCATAAAGCTGGTACCAAGCGTTGGCATCTGCCCCCTTAGGAAGAAGCATTGGATCGACGCCGGGGTCGTCTACGACGTCGTGAACGAGACGATCCACCACAAGTTCAAGGACGAGATCATGTGGTTGTCCCTGCGCATTATGACGAACCACCACGCTCGGCAGGGGCCATTTGTGTACATCGAGCATTATGATCACGTTGGTCCGTTTGATGTCGGATTCTTTGTCGTGGAGAGATGTGACGATGAGGCCCTCTAGCGGCAGGAGGAGAATTTGCTAAAACTCTTTCGTATCTGATGACGACTCTTCCGTGGCACAGGATGGCAAGAGCTCGGCGCGACCTGATGTTTCCTAGGTATCCTTTAATATGCGAAACGACCGATGGTGATCGCATCGCCAGGGCGGACGGGTTGTCAATGGTATTCAATGGGGCTCCGACCCGATGGTTCGACTTCGTGGAGATCGTCAACGGCGGACGTGGGTTTCTCGCGGAGGCGCGATCAGAGATTCGGCCAAGCGCGATTCGACGTCCTAACGAGGTGCATGGGCATACATTGTATTTTCGCCGCACCTTGAACATGTAACTCATCTCTCGAGTCATCGTCGGAGCACTTTTCAGGGCTTCCGAAGCGTGAATGGTGTTCCTTTGGTTTCTAGATGCCTTGGCTCGACACCTTCGACGCCTAGGTGTACCTTTTTGGTCCATTTTGTTAACAACTCTTTGGCAGGACGACGGATGGCGGAAACTCTACATCGGGAACAATCTACGACTACGATGGCGAAAACGAGTGTGGAAGTTGACAATCAACGAGGCGCTCATCATGCGACGTGCTCGACTGGGTCGACGCATCGAGGCGACTCACACGCTTACGGCTGCTAGACGTTACCTTCCTCTATAAGTCCCTCTTGATTGGACCGCTAGGAAATTGGTATCTAGCTATGCTCCTCGGAAGCATCAGGTTTCGACCCGTAAGGGGTATGAAACATAGTAAGCCTCGATCACCTTTGTGGTGTCGACCAGGAAAACAAGGTCAGCCCGCCCCTATGATTATCAATTCTTGCGACGATTTTCGTTGGTGTCATGATGAGGGGCGACGGCGGCGCAAAGGTCTTACCTTTTTCTTTTTTTTGTATATTCTTGGTTGGGATGCATTCATAGTTAGTCGATGACTTCTACATAAGGCAGACCGTAAATAGTATGGGTGGAGGGAAGCCATGAAAAATAATAGAGGTAAACATGGACACGTTGCCATGGAGTGATGTTTGCTTTGAAGTTCAATTAAGCACGTTGTGAATTTCGATGGTGACTTTCTTATCGACCATGTGTGCATAAATTGAATGACGCTTTTGAAAACTTTCTCTTCAGTTTTGCGTGACGGTGGGAGTAAAGGAATATTTCCTATTGTTAAATTTTGTAATCCTTGCGAAGGAATGTCACTTGGTCTCTAAGACAAGTTGCTGTCTATGTATCGCACCCGCGAGCTCTGTTCGCAAACATTTACGAGGACCTTGGTTGCAAAAATTATGTGCTTGTTTGCGACGTCTATGTGTATCTCAGTTGTCACATTTATGTGCTTGCTTGCGGCGTCTATGTGTAACTCAGTTGTCATATCTATGTGCTTGTTTGCTACAGTTATGTGTATATCAGTTGCTACATTTATGTGCTTGGTTGCGACGTCTGCATGTTTTAATGCGATGTATAAGTGTTTGTGTAATTCCAGGACCTTCCTTTTCCAAAAGAAGGTGTTTTTATAAACAGGACAAAAAACGACTTGAGTTATGATCGATCAGGCGAAGTCTAACTAACCGACGTGGTCTGCAGAAGATCAGCCACCTACGAAACAAGCGGCTTCGTTGGGCTCGATTTATATTCACCTGTAAGAGTTGTCTGTACTATGGCGAAACGAGCAAAACAGCCTTGGCTGGTTTACCTCTGCAATTGCATGTTAAAGCTTTCGTATATAGATCAGTAGCTCGATAGGGATATGCCTTTGAGGATGGTGACAACTCCTCAGGGAAGATGAGTTGTGCCTCGGGGGACCCTGACCTGTCGTAGGGGAACGCGAGAGGTACGACTGGCGCACCAGGCTAGAGCGGCAAAACCCAGTCGTTCACCTCAATGAATTTCGGGGGAAGCGTTCCGACTCCAAAAAAAGAATATCAAACTCCTGCGTGATGCGGCTGGGAGGTCCCCCTTTATGCGCGACGACGCGAGGGGGCCGCTGTGTCCGACAGCGCGCATCTGCATGAGTCGACCCCGAATTTACCGAAAGGATGCGGGGAATCGAATTCATTAACCAGATATGGCCGAGGAAAGTCCATTTTGGATCACCGATCATGAAAGACTGAGGGATCCGGAGTACCGCGAGTACTGGAAAGGCGAACAACTCAGACGACGGGGAAACTTGAGAAACCCAGAATTCCCCTCAACGACAGAGAACGACCGACTGTGCGTGGGGGATTTCCACTGGGCTATAACCGGCGTCCCGAGGGGCCCAGACTACCCAAATACGGACAACACGCAATACTACATATCCCCGGGCTTCGTCGTTATCACTACCAGTTTCCCTCCCTTTCACCTCCTCCTCCCATATCACCAGCTCACAGTGGTACCGTGGAATTCCATAGCTCGCGATTGGCCCAACCCACTGTGCGAGGATTGCGAGCAGTACCAGACACGCCAAGCTTCGGGATTTATCCGCCGAACTCGAATGGAAGCTGAGTAGCGGTTGCACCACCTCTGCTTACGGTCCCGCCCCGTCGGATTATGAAGCTTGTTACGAGCGGCGCCGACAGCAGCACGACCGCCCCGGTGTCTCGTCAACGCACCGGACAAGGGACCAACCGCAGTGACGCCACTGACAAAGGCCATAGCCCCTTCCCCGAAGGCTGAGACGCCAGATACGATCCGTGCGCACCATTTGCACCAATGCCCCTAAAACTTGCCACAGGAGATCTCAGTTCCGACCTCGGACCCCCCCCCCTCCCCCAACTCTCCTAAAATCCTTGGCACACCCCCTTTTTCGCACTTCCGGGCCCCCATCCCACTCCGATCAGGAAGTCGCGCTGGGCGTGAGGTTGGTATCGAAGTCGACACGTGGCGAGCTTATAAGAGAAGTGGGTAGATAAGTCGCACGATATGATCTGGCGAACAGAGGGCGGGCCACACAGCGGAACGTGCCGTGACGCAATCCTATAGTACTTAAAAATCGATCGTCTGGATGGCCAGCCGCCGATATGAACGCCAATCAGGCGCAAAATGTCAATGTACAGCTACGCGGGGCCCCTGTTCCCGCACCACCCGTCCGAGCTCGCGCACCTACAGCTCCACCCGATTTGTATCTCTTCGACCCTGCACACCACCTGGCCAGAGCATGGTTAGCTACCTTACGTGCACAACAATATGACAACGACGAAGCTCGGATTAACATCCCCGCTAGACTGGGAGGGGATGCGCATCAGTGGTTTAGCACTTATGCCTGGATAGATCTCCTGACCTTTGAAAGGGACTTCTTGAACAGGTTCGACTACATCCACCCCGAACGAGCCTTCTTTATGATTAAAAACCGAGTTCAAAAGCCCCTTGAGTCTGTCTGAGAATATCGCAATAGGTTCTATAGACTGTTTGTCAAACCCGAGAGGGACAAAAAGGTTGGGAGGGATCTACTTATCGATAGGCTTCGGAGTCGGGGGATGAGGGCGAAGTTGCGGAAGCAATTTTCCCCCATCAACCATATGATGCAACGGATTATAGATGGGGTGGAAGAAATGGAACGGAAATTCGCTGCTAGCGTTCTAGAAAGTGAGGATCACGCAAAAGATGGAGACTCTTTGGAACTGGCTAGAGCGAAAGATGAGCTGGCCGCACTCCAAAAACAATCTGAAAATATGGGTTTTGTCTCCGGACCGGTCACTTACCTAGAACAGGTCGCAGCCAAGAGATCGATAACTGAGACAACCTCAGGAGTATCGGTTATGGCCCTGCCTCCGCCTCCCCCAGAAGCCCTTGCAAATGCGATACTAGAACTAACTCGAACACTCATTGGCGTAATGCAAGAAAGTAAAAAGGAACAACACGAGCACAATGCTCGGATCGAATCATTGATGAGATCGATGCGCCCCATTGCAGTCAGAGCAGCACCAATGATGCCAAGCACAGCCCCCGCTCCAGTAGTGGGCGCGGCAGCAGCCAACGTAAGTGTTTGTTACACGCGTCATCAACCCGGGCACATAGCCCTGGGCACATAGCCCGGGACTGTCCCCACCGTCTCACGCAAACAAGAACCGCGCCAACAGCTGCAACACCAATTGCTAACGGACCTGGTCGGGTGGCCGCAATGGTAGAAGAAACCGACAGCGGGGCAAGCCCGTTGGGGGTCACGGAGGAAGCGGCGGAGCTTATCCCGCTCGACCAGTATATATCGTTGGGATACTTGGGCCTCTACATGATAGGGGCCATCCAACTTGCCCGCAACGACAACGAAGTTTCGGAATGGAGACCCTCCTCGAGGGAAATGGAATCCGGAGGACCCACGTTCGTTACAGGAGAGATCAATGTGTTAGATATAATTCGCGCATGGAATCACCGCATCCCCTTGCCCATCGGACACCTGCTAAGCATCTCCGAACAGGCTAACAACCGGATACTACAGCACTATAAAGCGAACCGAAAGCGATTTACCCTCACCAAATTGGCAACCGCAAAAGGAAAGGCTCTCGCTAAAGACTCGAAGTCGGAGGAGCCCTGCACCTCTGAACCCGTCCGGATGGGCCTAATTCGGAAAGACGATCACTTCCTACAGATCAAAGCCTTGCCGTGGAGATCCGCGGAGTGCGACGTGGAAGTCTGGGGAAACCCCTACAGCGAGGTCCTTGATTCCGGGGCCGTGGTCCTGGCCATCTCACTACGGGTGGTGGAGCGGGCTGGCCGACGGAAAGATGTGATTCCTCTAGCGGATGGCGATTACTTCATTTCCGCCGATGAAGGTAAGATCCGAGTTGCAGGAAGGATGTCCAACGTCGCTTTTCAAATAGGGAAAGTCCACGCCTTAGGCGATGTAGTGGTCCTAAACTTGACCATATACGATGTCCTCGTCGGATTACCAGCCCTCATAGCCTTACGGGCCACGCTGGATTTCGAACGGCAGGCAGTCATCCTCAATAACATTGGATGAAAGCCATACATCGTTCCAATGCGCCTCACCCTCTGGACAACTTCGACGTCTGAGCAACAATAACCGGGACCCTGCGAAATCCTGCGAATGATAAGGTGGGACGAATCCATGGACGAATCCGACGTCGAACCCACACTACTGTCGTCCACCTCCGAGAGT